GGCGAAATAGCAATCAATACTTGACAGCTCGGTTGATCTTACCGATCGGACTGTCACGAAAAGTCCTAAAGCACCTTTAGGCACAGAGAAAAAGGTTACTGACCGAACAATTGAAGACTTATCAAAAGTACCTTTAGACAAGGACAGAGACCATGACAAGTAATTTTTGTTGGGAACGACTCTTAGCCCCAAACAGCAAATGAGCTCGTCACCATACTTAGAGAATATGCCGACGTCTTCGCTTGGAGCACGAGTGAAATGCCCGACGTTCCGTCCGAAGTGGCAGTCACCAATTGAACATTGACCCTAGCTTCAGGCCTGTCAAACAAAAGCTCAGGAGGTCGGCAGCCCAACACCAAGAAACAGTAAAAAAAGAAGTGGCACGATTGCTTGAGTCCCAAACCATCAGGAAAATAAAATACTCAACCTGACTGTCAAACATCATGGTGGTTAAAAAGAAAAATGGAAAGTGGAGAGTCTGTGTTGACTTCACCTACCTCAACAAAGTCTACCCAAAATATAGTTTTCCCTTACCTAAGATAGATCAATTGGTCGGTGCAACTATCGGTCATGAGCAAATGAGCTTCTTGGATGCCTACAGGGGGTATCACTAGATCCCCCATGCTGAACAGGATCAAGAAAAGACTGTGTTTTTAACGTGTGAAGGGACATACTGCTACAAGATAATGTCCTTTGGGTTAAAGAATGCAAGAGCGATATATCAGAGGTTGGTAACAAAGATGTTCTCACACATGATAGGCAGTACCATAGAAGTCTACATTGATGATATGGTGGTTAAAAGTTGAAGGGCCACCAATCACTGCTCCAACCTGAGAAGCACTTTTGACGTCCTTCGAAAGTACAAAACGAAGTTAAATGCCTCGAAATGCGCATTTGGGGTCGATTCGAGAAAGTTCCCTGATTTTCTGGTTACCCACCAAGGTATAGAGGTGAACCCCGATTAGGTAAAGGCCATCGCAGAACTATAATCACCTTGGACTATAAAAGAGGAGCAAAGACTAACTAGAATAGCCGCTCCCCTCAGAAGGTTCATATCTTGAGCATCTGATAAGTGCAGACCTTTTTTTCAATCAATCAAAGGAAATAAAGGAGCACTTTTGAGTCAGGAGTGTGAGGAAGCATTTTTAAATCTGAAGGCATACTTTGCCTCCCCACCAATCCTTACGACGCCATTGCTAGAAGAACATCTCTTCCTCTACTTAGTCGTGTCTGAACACGCAATAAATGGAGCATTGATGAGAAAAGACCAAACAAAACTAAAGTCGGTGTATTATGTGAACAAGATGCTCTTGGATGCCGATTCAAGGTATACTCCATTAGAAAAACTCGCCCTTGCCTTGGTCAATTCGGCTAGGAAGTTAAGGCACTACTTCTAGGCGCATCAAATTATTGTACTCACTGACCAACCCTTGAATGCCCTTTTTCAAAAGGCCAATCTGTCAGGGTGCATTGCCAAATGGGTTGTGAAACTCGGGGAGTTCGACATTGCGTTTGAACCTAGAATCGCAATCAAGGGGCAGGTGGTGATAGACTTTATCGCTGAATTTCAACCAAAGTCCAGCTTGGGAATAACCAGGCAGAATGATAGTACTGAAAATTCCATGCTCAGTGGTAAATGGAGTTTGTTCGTAGATGGATCTTCCAATCAAAAAAGGGCAGGCCTTGGCCTCTTAGTGGAAAGTCCAGAGGGCTGTATTCTAGAGAAAGCCATCAGGCTTAGGTTTGAGGTCTCGAATAATGAAGTAGAGTATGAAGCCTTAATAGCCGGAGTAATCCTCGTAGTGGAATTAGGCATCACCAAGCTCCAGATATTCTCTGATTCACAGTTAGTAGTAAATCAGATAATAGGGGATTACATGGTGAGGGATGAGAGAATGATGGCATCTCATGCTGCTATAGAAAGGAATTAGGCCAGATCTCAGAGTATTCAATCCAACAGATTGGAAGAACAAAAAATAGTCATGTCGATGCCTTAGCATCATTAGCTTCGGCCATTGACCAGCAGAATGAAAGAGCTATCACTATTGAATTCTAGCCCTAACCAAGCATTTCAGCCATCGACTTAGATGAAATCTTATCAGTAGAATTAGAGCCGAGTTGGATGGATGGGATCATCGCTTATTTAAAGAATGAGGACTTGCCTGAAGACAAGAAAGAAGCCCACAAAATGCGTTTGAAGGCAACTTGATTCTGGTTATCCCCAAAAAGTGAACTCTATTGACGCTCTTTCAGAGGTCCCCACTTGAAATGTGTGCACCCCAAATTGGTTCTTGATTTTCTATTTGAAATTCACGAGGGGTCTTGCGGCGCTCATATTGGTGGAAGATCCCTAGCTCACCGAGCTATTTTCCAAGGATACTGGTGGCCCTACATATAGAAAGATGTTCAACAGTATGTCAGACAGTGCGAGAAGTGTCAAAAATTCTCACAAATACCGAGAAAACCATCACAAGAACTACTTCTATTGGCGTGCCCATGGCCATTTACACAATAGGGGCTAGATATTGTGAGACCATTACCTCGGGCCCCTGGAAATAAGAAGTTTCTCCTCGGTGCAACTAATTATTTCTCAAAGTGGGTGAAAGTTGAGCCCCTAGCTTACATCAGAGATACTGATACAAGGAAGTTCGTTTGGAGGAACATTATCACTAGGTTCAGAATCCCTAATGCACTCATCTCTGATAATGGAACTCAGTTTGATAGTGGTCCCTTCAAAACTTTCTGCCAATAGTATAAAATTTGGAACCACTATTCGACCCTGACTTATCCTCAGAGTAATGGACAAGTGGAGATTTTCAACAAGATAATACTAGACGGTATTAAGAAGAGGTTGGAGGATGCCAAAGGAAGGTGGGTTGAAGAATTGCGAGTGTACTGTGGACGTACCGAACCACACCTCGACGCTCAACTGGAGAAACCTTATTTGCTTTAGCCTATGGGATGGAGACGGTGATTCCATTAGAAGTCTATTTGCTGACCTTAAGAACCGAGTTGGTTATAAACAAATGTAACGATGCTGCCATCACTNAGTGCCTTCTTCGTAAGGGCAACAATAGGATGGAACAACACCAGCGGCATACTCCCAATTTTCAGAAACAAAGACAATATCGTTCTCATGACCTTTGTTAGTAGCTGGGAGATGAGTCACCAAGTAACAGTCCTTCTTCCTCACCGCCAGATAGTAGTTGTCTCCAGTCAGTTTGATGATGTAGCAGTATAAAATCTCCTATAAACCAAGACTCAAGCCCAGAAGCTTGTTCACAGCAGCTACCCCCATCACTATCCTGAAGAAGTTGGGGCAGCATTGGATGGGGCAGAGTTTAGTTGCAGAAAGTACCCAGAGAAGGAGAAGGTCCAGAGGGAATCGGACTTCACCCTCAGTGATCACTCGAGTATGAATGAGAATGCTTTCTCTTGTGCCTATCAGAGGTTCGTCTTTTCTAGCGACTCTTACGTCAACTTCATCTGGAATATTGTATTTAACTTTGAAAGCAGGAGCTTCAGGAGAAGTAAGAGGGGCCATGGTAGAAGATGACGAAGATAAAAGAAAAGAAGTCAAGGAGTTTGAAAAGACAAAGTAAAGAATGAATGAAAGAGGTTACCTATAAAAGAGGGAATTCCAAAAGACTATTTAAATACCAAGCATGTCGCCAAAACAAGGGGAAATGTGACAAGTATGCGCAATGATGATTGAAAAGACATAAAACAGCTGACAGACGAAAGACGTCTATCAGACATTTTTCTGGGGGCAAATGAAAGGGGTGGTTCCCTTTATTGTACATGTTATGACATTAAATGAGCTCATGTGAGTGACAAAACAAGGCACGTGATGGAGACATCAGACACTCAATAGTCCAGAGCAGAGCTGTTTGATGAGTTCGGTAAGAAACGAAAGAGGTCAATCCTCATTGCGACCAAGCTGTTTCAACAGTCAAACAAAGAGCAAAAGATTTGCCTATAACTCAGGCATCCTAGATAAGTTAATGGGCTTAATGATAGGCCAGGCTAAGGGAATTGCTAGAGGGATTTCAGCAACTTCCCAAACAGAGTCACCTAATTGAAGGAAGGTATGCCACCTTGAATCAAAAATTATGAAAACCCTAATTGAACAGGGATCTATAAAAAGCACAAGGAGCCAGAGTGAAAGGTATGCTGAACTCTCATTGCCTTCTTACAATTGTTTCAGTTTCATTATTCACTTAAACATCGAAGTGTCTTCAATTGAAACACTTCGATCTTGGACAGTTTGTTCGTTTTACAGGAAGCAAAGACAGGAGAATTAGGTTCAGAGCTCACTCTTATAAAAAATGTTCATTTTTCATTCTTGAAGGAGGTGTCCTCAATTTTTACCTCTTACAATAAGAAAAAAAAAAGAAGATAAAGTTTCATCTAATTGAAAGAAGTTCATGTCTGATTATAAATATCATAGTCCATCATAAGATTTTCTCTTTATAATTTTTTTTATGAGTTGTAATTTAATATTTCAAAATTATAACTTTTTTTTTATGATTGATTCTAATATTTTAAAATCGATCATAAATTTTTTGCAATTTTTGGTACGGTGTTAATAGCTGTCTTTTTTTCGTATTATATAACAGTACAGTAGTAATAGAATAACTCCGAACAGTACCAAGAGTCGCAGCTGCCAAATATGTCCTTACTTGCACGTGCCGCCTATATAATTACCACGTCAGTTACATGATGACGAAAATCAGTATTCATATAGATCAGAAGATTATGGCCAAGAGAAGCTCATTACGATAGTGGTGGTACACAATTCCAAGCTACAAACTTTACTCAGAGAGAGAGAGAGAGAGAGGTTTTGTGCAAGCCTATCAGCTACTTTCAACTCGATTCTCTCATTTTGCAANTGGTACACAATTCCAAGCTACAAACTTTACTCAGAGAGAGAGAGGTTTTGTGCAAGCCTATCAGCTACTTTCAACTCGGTTCTCTCATTTTGCCACCAGAGAAACCAAATGGGGGAGGTCCTAAACTCCAAATCTTCACTCAAATTCAACCATTTTTTGTTTCTCTCTCTTGTTTCTATGTACTGACATGGTAATGTTTGGTGGAGTTTTCAGGAACAGAAGAAACTAGAGGAAAAGAATCCGGAGGAAAAGAAACCAGAGGAAGGGAAAAAACCAGGGGAAGAGAAAAGAGAAGACCCAAAATCCGAAAAACCAAGCGACGGAAAGGGAGAAGAGAAAAAAGGAGAGGAACCCAAGGATGGAAAAGATTCCAAAGACCCACCACCTCCTCCTCCTCCTCCTCCTCAAGAGATTGTTCTCAGAGTCTTCATGCATTGCGAAGGTTGCGCCAGAAAAGTCCGTCGATGCCTCAAAGGGTTCGAAGGTTTGAACTCTGTTCTGCAATATTTTTGGTCTATGGCCTCTCTCTCTCTCTCTGTCTCTCTCTATCTAAACCATTTTTGGTTTTCAGGAGTTGAGGATGTTGAGACGGATTGCAAGACGCATAAGGTCGTTGTGAAGGGAGAAAAGGCAGATCCATTGAAGGTACTTGAGAGAGTACAGAAAAAGAGTCACCGACAGGTTGAGCTTCTCACTCCGATCCCGAAACCGCCGGCCGACGAACCCAAAAAAGTTGAAGAGAAAGAAATTGCCAAACCCGAACAAAAAACAGAGGAGGTTTTTGTAATTTCTTGTGTATTTATTCGGGATTTTTTAAAAAATAATTTTGGGGGGTTTTCTTATGAATTTGTTTGTTGGTGGGGTTGTTGAGGTCATGGTTTTGTTGTGTTTCAGCCTCAGGTGATTACAGCGGTTTTGAAAGTCCACATGCATTGTGAGGCTTGTTCGCAAGTAATCAAGAAACGTATAGAAAGAATGAAAGGTAAAAAAAAAATTTGTTTTTTTCCTTTATTTTTTATTCACGAGATTCTTCATATGCTCGGTAATCTATTGGTTTCAATTGGGTTTAAACAATTTCTCTTAAGCCCAAGGAAGCTAAAGTGGTAACAGAAGGTTGCACGGATTTATAATATTCTAGTCGACTTAAAATTGGATAGGGGAGTAATACGCGTGAGTTTGTCCGAACACTTTAACCATGAAAAAAAAAAAAATCTCTTGCTACCCTTTTTAGCTGTATTTACAGTCCCAAACACCCAACTATTTTCTTTTCTGTTTGAATCTCTAAAATAATAGAGTTTTTTGATTCTATTTTCCCAATCTTTATATTCTTTAAGTGGAATAAAATAATATTTTTTTTGAACTCTGTCTTGGTGTAATAAAATATTGAAGTCTTTAGATTCTGCTGGACTCTGTCAAAATTCAAGTCAATTCAGTCTTCTTTAATTTCAATTTAATGCCAGATTTTACTTAAAATATTACACTCCCATCAATACCCAATTCCAAAAAATTTCCACCAAAAACTCCAATCTTTTTAAATTGATGTTTGAACCCAGATGGGTGGTAGAGAAGGCTAGTGTTTAAGACTTAAGACTATAGAGTAACATAAATTCAGACGTCTTTTGAGTTAAAATTTCACTGGTAATTGATGGTATAAAGGGTTTAGATATTAGATTAACATTAGGTTCCTTCATATTATTTTTTTCATTCAGGTGTTGAGAGTGCAGAGCCAGATCTAAAGAGCTCACAAGTGACAGTGAAAGGGGCGTTGGAGCCACAAAATCTGGTGGAATACATACACAAGAGAACAGGGAAGCAGGCAGTGATTGTGAAGGTAGACCCAGAGAAGAAAGAGGAAGAAGATAAAGCCAAAGAAGAGAAAAAAGGAGAAGAAAAGGATGACAAGAAAGTTGAAGAAGAGAGCAAAGAGAAGAAGAAGGAAGCCATTGAAGAAGCTGCAAAAGCAGCAGCAGCAGCAGCAGCAGCAGCGGCAGAGGGAGAAGAACAAGAGCCCATAATTGAGCTAAAAAAGAATGAATATCACAACTACTTCCCACACAACTTCCAGCTCTATAATCAAGGTTTTACCCAAGAATATTATGCATTCCCCCCTCCTCCTCCTCAAATCTACATTGATGGAAACCCTAATGCATACCCTCCTCAAATCTTCAGTGATGAAAACCCTAATGCATACCATCCTCAAATCTTCAGTGATGAAAACCCTAATGCATGCTCAGTTATGTAAATTTTGAGGAATCTTAGGGGTGCAATGGGGAATTTTGGGTTGTGGGGTGGCACATGGGTAATGTCCATGGCTGTTTTCTTCTTCAGACCTTTGTTGTGCTCTGCATGTGGCTATGTTTGGGGCTCTAGGTGGGAAAGCTGTGTAATTTTGTGAGGTTTTTGTACTTTTTTGGTCTTATGTATTATAATCTCTGTCACATACTATAAAACAACAGTGCATCANGCCCAAGGAAGCTAAAGTGGTAACAGAAGGTTGCACGGATTTATAATATTCTAGTCGACTTAAAATTGGATAGGGGAGTAATACGCGTGAGTTTGTCCGAACACTTTAACCATTGAAAAAAAAAAAATCTCTTGCTACCCTTTTTAGCTGTATTTACAGTCCCAAACACCCAACTATTTTCTTTTCTGTTTGAATCTCTAAAATAATAGAGTTTTTTGATTCTATTTTCCCAATCTNACTAAGCTCTCAATTTTATCTTAGGTGTAAACAACATAAGCTTACTTTGGATTTGAAATCTGTAAAAAATGATTTTACAAATTCGTATTTGGATAATCGGTTAAAAATAACAATTGAAATTGAATTTATAGTTGACTAATTGGATTCTAAAATTCCTAAGTTCCGAGTTGCAACGCTTAGGATAGGTTGAATATTTTTATGTTGGGAACTGTTTCAGCAAGTGGGGGTGTCTGTTTGGTAAATTTGATAGAGGACAAAGAAATCCAATTAAATGATGAAAGAGGTTAAAACTTGATAGAGGAGGACAAAGACCTCCACCAGGACAGTGGCTGGTAGGTGAAAAGTACGGAGAGAGAATTTTTAGCGCCGCGGTGAATTTCTTAGTGGATTTGGCAGGGAATTGTGAGTAGGTGAAGGGAAATATATCATTTTCCTGTTTGATGGTCACATCAATGGTGGTTGGTCCTACCTTCTATTTTCTTTGCTGAATTCTAATCCTAACTGAACTAACTGCAACAGGATTTAGAATACAATACCTAATACGTCACTAAAAAGACAATAAAGTCAATATCTTGCATGTAGGATGGTGGGTAAGTATATCAGACTTTGATTTGAATATAAATTCGATTAATCGGATATAAGTTAATATTTTTGATCAGTACTTACAACCTGCATCTATCATATAACAATTTATTGGTTTGAATTTTGGATACATTAATGTCCGACCTAATTTTAATTTCTGATTTTCAATAAAAAAAAATTTTGATCAAAAAGAGGGAGAAAGAGAAATGACTAGTAGATAGTAACTTTTATTGGACGTGACTATGAGGGTATCTCCCACTGTGAAATATTTGGTTTGAGCCATAGTAACTAACTCTAAAGTGTAGTGCATCACCACAGAACCATTAAAGTGAAACAGCAAATCGCATTACTTGTATAAATCGAACTTTATTTGATTACATGAGAGTCAAGAAAGACCCTAAACAAGAACAACTTATCACTAGACCACCGACTTAAGTAATATATATTCAACAAATTTAGACACAAAACAATAAAACCTACACAGTAAAAATGTAATCAAGCCTAGGGCTATTGTTTGGTCTACCATCCCATTGATGAATTGGCTATCACTACTCTCCCCTTCTCAAATCTTTTGATAATGCAATTTCATGTTCCAAAAGTTACCCCCAATCCTTTAAACCTACTTTTGGTGATGGCTTATCAACCATAATAGTAAAGTATGTTGGCCTTGCAATAGAAATTGGACTGTTGAATAGTAGTATGAACCTTTGATTTTCAACGATCACTACAACAAATTTGTTTTAGTGGTAGTGCCATCAGGTCTTTCCTATTCACATGCCTAGTCACATGAATCCCCAGTACATGTTCTCATCAGTGGGGGACAAAGAGAGATGATAGAAAAATAAAAGATTTTGCAAGGTTTTTGGATTAGTCTTGGGTATGGACAAAACTTCTTGTTATTATATTAAAAAATAATTTGTAATTATAGTCTTCGGTTGAAGTACATTATTGATAATGAAAATAATAAAGTAAAGAGAAATAATAACATAAGAAACTTTATAAATGTCGCATTCTCATGGATGAAAAAATAAGGTATAGTATCAAAAAATAATTTTATAGTACTATAATTGAACATTAAGTTGTAACCCTAAAATTGGTTGGAGAAATTGCACTGAGAGAGAAAAGTTTGGCATGTCCACGTACCAAGGGACGTGACAACATGGAATGGATTGATTCCTACGGAGAACTAGGGGTAGTAAACAAAATGAGCTATTTAAACTAGGCTCGAAATCAATTTGTTTTAAAATTGATTCATCTGATGAATGAATCAAGTTTAAGTACATTCTTAAGATTGTCGAGTTTTTGAGTTTAGAACGAACTCAACTTGATAAGTTAATTGGTATCCTGAGATATAATACAAAATGTCCAAGCTATGATCAAGATCAGCTTGGTAAAATTGCCCATTTATAACATCAAGAATAACATTCTCTCTCTCTCTCTCTCTCTTTCTCTAAGATGGCAAGGTCGGGTCATGCATTGCCTTTACAAAGTGCATGTGGAAGGCTGCAAGCCCATTGTCATGCCTGTCTGATTCAACAGTCAATAATTTGCTTTCAAATTGGATCATGAATTGGATACCTCTTCAAAACTTTTGGGGTGTGTTTGGATTGGGTATTAAGATGGATTGGATTAGCCAGTTACATCCATTCCATAACCATCCAGCTAGAAAAGAAAAACAAATTTAAAACTTATCTTTTTTAATATATGTTTATGTTTGGTTCAGGTATTAAGAAGTAGTGAACTCCACATTTACCTCATCCAATATTTTGTTTGGATAGAGTATTTAATAATGTATAAATAATAAATTAAGAAAGAACTCGTACAATAAAAAGTAATACATTTACCTCATCCCAACTGAATTATTCAAACCTATTAAATAAGTGGGTTTATTTAAAAAGGTGTATGTGGCTATAAATCACTATTCATCCAGGCCTTGGCTTATTTATAGGTAATAATACCGGGTCAAAAATAAGTGTTCAAACATAAGTGTAAGTTGAATAAGGTGGCCAGACATTATTTTTTTCAATCCTTTTTTGTTAATATGTAAAATAAAACACACCCTTTTTTAGTACAACTTCATTGCCACACGTTGTATACTCCACCTCATACACAAGGGTGATTTTTTTGAGTTCGATGGGGTCACAAAACTGCACACAAGTTTTGTGGCTAACTTTTTATTGAGACCCGCCACATGCATTATGGTATCCCTTTATACATTTTAAAGAATAATAAAGTTCAATTTCATATAGATGAATGGGATGAGAGTTGTTATAAGTATAGTATATGGGGATCGAATTTACTTCTTCAATGCTTTATTTGAATCACATAACATCGTCTATATGGAAATTAAGCTTGCAGTTTGGGTTGTTCAACCTCAACCCATTCTCGAAATATGCTGACAAACATTTTTTATACTCAAGTTGAGCTTGAATAAAAACTCCAAACATTTATTTAAGAGTATTAAGCTTATTTCAATCTCAAAATTGAACTTGTATTTCGTACCTATTTTTATAACTTGAGTTCAAAATTTTAAGAAGAGATGGCACCCAGGTTTTAAGTTGAAACTGAGTTGATAATATTTTTTTTCTTTTTTTTGAGTTCGAGTTCTCCTCTTTAACCTGTCTAACTTGTTTGTCTCTCTTATAGGAAAAAAAAAAGTTGAATATGGTCGGATTTGGTTTGCTGGTGTAGACATTATTGTAGAACATGGAAGAGTGGTGGCCATGCTGGTTCAGAAACATGTAGAGAAGTCACTGTCTTATTTCTATATATATATGCAGTTTGCTGGGAATGATGAAACCATTTTGTGGATTAGTAGAAAGTGATCATTCAAAGTTGCGTTTGTTAACTCGTGAAAGGGAAAAAGGATGGGCTCTCTTTACCTCCCATGTTTTACTCCTGCACGCCTGCTGCATCTCTCTCTCTCTTCCAAATGCTCAATTTTTGTTTAAGTAATTGATTCTAAAAACCCAAATTGTTAGAATTCTCATTGCGAAACTCTTCTCCATCGACAATATGCAGGATTCAAAGCTCTCCTTTACATCCCATATTGGTAATTCTAAAAAATATTAATAATTACATTCCTTATAAAACTAACTATCAGGTAGATAATATATAATTTAAAACGCAAGAAGTCGGCATATGGATGAATAAAAAAAATTAATNAAACTAACTATCAGGTAGATAATATATAATTTAAAACGCAAGAAGTCGGCATATGGATTAATAAAAAAAATTAATGTGATGTAAATATTTGTCAAGACTCAATAGATTTTAGGGAAAAACATAATACCTATTAGTAAGTTTTCCTTAACAAAAAGATATTTTATGAACATAGAATTAAACTAGAAGGGGATTTGGTTTATTTTTCAAAACTACTCATATACTCTTGTTAATTGATATTATTATTTTCTATCTTGTTGCTAAAAATAAAAAGAAATGTGACTGTGGATTAAAGAGTAATTTTGACATGCCCCAAAAATATGACATTGGGATACGAGGGCCTTGTTCTTTTAGCCCTAAATTGCCATGAAGGGCCACTTTACCGTACACATTGGCCTGACACAATTTAATGCTGTTGAGGCAAAACANGGGCCTTGTTCTTTTAGCCCTAAATTGCCATGAAGGGCCACTTTACCGTACACATTGGCCTGACACAATTTAATGCTGTTGAGAGGCAAAAGAGCATCGAAATTTGGACACTTTTTTCTACTTTATCAACTCACTTCATATTTACATTAGAAAATACAATATTTATCAAATTCTCTTATCACATTAATCTCTATTAAAAGGGTATGCCCTTCAAAAAACAAAATATTAAGACAAATTTGGAGGCCGGTCCTACTTTATGGATTTGTTTGAGTTTAAGTCTGTCAAAAAAACTTATTTGTTATGAAGTCTATTTTTTGTCAATTTTACCATACTATCTATTCCCTTTAGAAGTGAAATAAAATTAAAAA